GAACTTTAGGGTGTTGTAGAATGTGTGATTTTAAGTAAAAAAAGTTTATATGAACACATATTCTGAAACGCTTAGTTTTCGACATACAAGATATAGAAGTTTAATTTTTTCTTGATTTTTTCCTGTTTACTCAATAACGGCGAGAGCTACAAGGTTCTAATTTAACAAGTCAAGTAGTCTAATGAAAGCTCAGCCATCAATAAACTTTTTAATTAAAGAATTAGTGGCGTGCGTACGGGGGTTTGGTGTTTCCGTTTCATATCAGAATTTCTACTCCAATAGTTTTTTTTTTTCAGGGTCACAGGTTCTGCTTTTTTTATTTTGGAAAAATGCAATTCCAATGCTTCATTTTTCGAAAAAAAGTCGTTTTTTTTTTAATAAATGTTACCCCGACAAGTATTTAAAAATTGTATCCATCATGCAATTAAGTTTTTTTTTTTTTAATGAAAAACGAAGCACTTTTAGGAGGTGACTGTGGTTACTTTTTTGATTGTACTTTTCCAAAGAATAACTGGAACCTGTCAAACTTGAAGAAAATCCATTGGCGTAGAAATTCTAATTTAAAAAAGGAACAATGGGCTCCCTTAAGCACGCCACTGATTCTGTAATTAAAAAGTTTTTTTAGCTTAAATTAGACTATTTCACTTCTAAAATTGGAATCTTGCACCTCTCACCGTCATTGAGAGAAAAGAGAGAAAAAAAATCAAGACATATTTAAAGTTTTTTATTACCTTGTAGGTCGAAAATTAAACTATTGTCCTAGGTTTAAACGGACGTCTTTTTCCAAAATAAGCGCTTGGTTTTTGATGTGCAAGGTTTACCCGTTTAATGTTTTCTTAACATAAACCACTCTCCCTCAGTTTGAATAAAACGTCCGCTCATCAGTCGGTCGACGAGACGGTAAAAGAGACTGCGAGACGATAAGGAGCGCGGAGCACAACCTGTTGCGGGCGCCCGCTCGTATATCTTAATTTGCTATGTTATTCAAATGAGATGTCTCCAAAGTGTGCCAGCAAACGGCGGAATCCTCTCTGGCGATGTACTGCCGACAAGTTTGCATGCGTTCCCGTTGCTTGCTCGAGTCGAAGAATCAATGACTCACTATGTGCTAATAAGGGCGGGCAATTGCGATTTATAATCACGGGATTGGGATACGAGTCGGTTGCCCATAAAAGTTTCGTTATGTTTTAAATTTACTTTTTAGATTTGTTTTCAGAGTTGGTTTCCGACTCGAATATTATACAAGTGTCATAATTAGAGCGCCGATCGAGGTTTGTACATATATAGACGAGTCATTTGTGATGTCACAGCCACGAGCACCGCGAGATGTACTTCCTAAATGTATACATCTAAATACATTTCTTCAGATTCAAATAAACCTCTAGGATCACTTTCGAATCACCTACGTAATTTTTTTGCAGCGAATTTTTTTTAATTTTTTTGGAGCGATGACGAGACGCCGATAATAGTCGCCGCTTCTTATTGTCCACCTTAAGGGGGCTTTCCCGCTTTTTTCGCTGAAAAAAAAAAATGGTTCTTTTGGGATTTTTTTTTTTAAGAAAGTGTAAAACGGATTGAGACATTTTTTTTTAATTAAAAGATAGAGGTATGAAGTTTACATCTATTTATTTCATTTTTTAAATGAGAATTTTCTACGACGCTATTCATCTGAAATAAAAAAATGAAACATTTTTATAAAATATAGGGTTGTTGTTAGTGTTTATCATAGGGGTTTTTGAAATTCAAATTTTACGCAATTTGGTGCAACTGTGAACAAAAAAGATGAGTTTCACCTTAAATTTCTACCTTTAAATTCTAATTAAAAATCGAATTTTTGCAATATCAAAAAAATCCTATGTTGATCACTAATGGCATCATTTGTGAACATTGTAAAAGCAAAATCATAAAAATCAGTTAATTAGTGCTCGAGAAAAATCTCATTACAGTTTCAAAAACGTTGTTTTGAGAAAAACGTGTCTAATGTTTTTTTACGTCTTTTTTCATTTAACTATGAAATTCTTTAACTTACATGTCATTAATTCCCTGCCCGTACAGGACACCCTCCTCTGTCTTGTAGACCTCATTTTGGCTTCATGTCAGATAGCGTCACGCATTTTTTCCACTGAATCCGCATTTCGCCGAATACGGATAATAAGTAACATACCGTAATAAGTTGTCAATTCGCAACTTTGATGGTCAATTTTCCTGGACCTCTTCCCCCCAAGTCCCTTGTTTGTTTTCTTTCCATTACGGAGCCTGGTTCCCATGCGTTTCTCCACGTGACTGACGCATTTCCTTTTTCGTTACTTTCGGATCTTTGTTGTACGAGTCCAAATCCAAAATCGCCTTGAAGTCATTACCTTATCGCCTTACTGTCCCCGTCGCCAATATACTGAGCATATTTTACATTAGGCTTTTATTATGATCGTTGAAACACTTCCTTTACACTGTCCACCTCCATTTTTCCTGCGTGACTCTTTTCAAGCGCCGGGACCGTCGTCACTAATCCGGCTGTAACTCGAAATTTAATACGCGGATCACTTTAAAATTTCAGGACAATAAATTTGAATGTATAACGCATCGATTTCATTAAAAAAAAAAAAACAAAAAAAAAAGATTTTTTAAAACCGAAAAGCGGGAAAGCCCCCTTAATCGTGACATTTGGCGAGGTTGTTATCGTTGTGAATTGTGATTATGTTGTAACGTCTACTCTTGGAGGATTGTACAGTAGTTCGTACATACATAGGTGGATATTAAATGCTGTATTTATATTTCAAAATTTGGCGAATTTACGTATCCAGGTGACCAAAGAGGACCTGGGTTGTACGTAGGTAAATACCCGTAAGTTCTACTGTGTATCGCAGTATTCAGACTTCAGACATTATCTGAAGGAGGCGTACGTTTAACTTGTTTTGTTTGTATAGTTTAAGATCGTGATTACTAATAGACTTGTAATAAATCCGGTCCGATTTCTGATGTTTTGACGCCTTATCGGACGTTTTTGTTTTAAAATTGCGGAAATCATTCCGAAAATACACTGACGGAATTTCTTTAACAGAACCCCCCTCCCCCCTCCCTCCCCCACAAAATATTACATAATAAATAATGTAAAAAAAAAATATTTGAAGAATATAACATCTGTAAGTAAAAACTCAAACTCTACATAAAAATTTTTCAAAAATCCTAAATTTCAACGTCTAAAAATTACCCAAAAATTAAGGCCTTATAAAATGAACCTTCTTAAAAAACTAAACTAAATAAGCTTATAACTTAAAAAAAGCTTTTGTATTTTATAAAACAAAAATTAATCTAATAAAACATAATATTAATTTATAATTTTATTAATAATGAAAATTAAAAATTGGGAAAATAATTAATCTTAATATTAACTGTAAGTGGTGAAATAATAAAATTAGCTTGAATCTCTGCTCATTATTGTGACGGTTAACCTTGAGACATACCATGAAAAATGTCTGCGGCTTCCAGCAAAGTTCGCATACTTGTTATTTATGCATATGGATTTATTTTTCGTTATGTTTGTTTATGTTAGCGGCGGGCGGTCGACTCATTATTTAAATTTTTCGACGGCTCTTTTTTTTTGTTAGACGAATTTTGATGTTTTTGACTCATTTATTACTGCTCCTTTTGTGTTATTCGTTTTCTATCAGATGTACATGGGTCATTCCACCAAATAAAGTTATTTTTACGGGGCGACCCCCGCCGATTTTATTCAAACTGTGTAAATGTTCTCTATAATGAGAAAAAAATTCTCTGAAAATTTGAGCCCTTACTAGACACTCGTTTCGAAGTTATGATATTTTGAATTTTTAAAAAAAAATTTTTTCAACTGTCGTTAATTTTTCTAATGGAGAAAAATTATTTATACAAATAAGATTTTGACAGTTTTTGATGGAAAAAATTCTCAGCTTTCCACTGAAAATATTCATTTTTCAGGTAAAATAATTTCAATATATTTTTTTAGTTTTCCGTTTTGAATTTGTCGGTGAAATATTCGTATTATACCGTGTGTGTAAAGCCGACATCGGCCAGTTATGAAAAAGGACAAACAGAAGTGCGACGACAGATAAGAAGCAACCGCACACGCATCGAAGGCAGTGAGGGAATAAGACCGGCACTCTCACCACCTGTCTTGGTTAAAATAGATTTTTTCACAACTGGCCGATGTCGGCTTTACACAAACTGTCGAAAATACCTAATTTTTTGCAAAAATTTAGTTCAGTAAACAAAGAGATGTAAAAAATAGGAAAAACTCCGTAGAATTGAATGAACTACTTTACCTTATCTGAATTTTTGGGCTTCATTTTCAAAATGGCGTCCAAAGTTCGCAAAAAACAAAACTCATTTTTAAAAAAATTAAACATTTTAGAAAAAATGTTTCAAACAGAAGTTGTAGAAGATTTTAATACGGATCGAATAAGCCGAATGAACCGGTTTTGATCGATAAATAAATAAATTAGTTATTGCAAAAAAAACGCCAAAAATCGTAATTTTTTCAAATATCTGAAAGAATCTTTCAAAAATATATATTTTTTTATGAAACTTGGTGAAAGGATAGCTCTTGGTGAGCAAAATAAAATTATTTTTTCAGAATGGAAAAATATTTTATAGTTTTTGCAAAAATCGAGTTTTTTCGGAAAAAAAGCGTTTTTGTAAAATCCCCATAATTCATAGGTCGCCACATCTTTACCAAAATGTTTACCAAAAAGTGTGGACCACATATGGTAATTGTTTTATTAAGTACACATTTTTTTCCCAAACCGTCATTAATATTTGCAGCAACGCCAATAATCAAAAAGGTCAAACAGATTGGTTCTATGGAATTGATAACCCCATTTGAAATTTTTGATCGTCACAAAATTTTAAACATTTTGTGGCAGACATTACGAATGGATTTTGTGGCGATTAATATTACCATTACTTTTTAAAACAGTTTTTGTATTCGTATTAAGATGTTAAATGTGACTGCATTAAATTGAATCGCGGCGATAGCTCAGTGGGTAAAACGCCAGGTGGGAGACAACGATCACTCCGAGAGGTATTATCCGCGCGGGTTCGAATCCCGCCTGTGGCATGGTTTGGTTGCGTGTCCTACATATGTTCCAGGTCTACTCTCCCTCTGTGGTGTGATGGTCTGTGTTGTGATAGTCTGATGTTTTTGTGGTATTAAAATGATATACTGCTATACGTGTAAAAAAAAGGAGAATCACGTTTTACAGGAATATCTGTATGACGATTTTTGAGTATTTAAAATTTCATAATTTTTGCTGTGAAATATTTAACTGTCATTTTGTGAAAAGTTTAAAAACATAACCCACCTGATATCCAAACTGTTCCGAAAAACTAGTGTTTTTTTTCCACCAATTCTTTTTGTAAGTTACAACTTATAAATGTTTTCCTTATAATTTTCTCAATACGTATCGAATATTCCACTACAAAAAATTGGAAATTTAAAAAAGAGTCGAAGATTGTTCTACAGATTTTCCTTCCAAATTATTGTATTGAAGAGAATACATTTTTTTCCTAAAAATAAAGCGATAGTATTTATTAATATCGTCCTTAGTATTAAAATAAACTACATGGACTAAAGTGAAACGCAAACGCGGACAAAACAAATTGCCTAATAAAAAAAAAGTTGTAATTTTTGCATAAGACATCGTACGTAACATCTTAACGCAAATGCGAATCATTTTTCTGTAAGACATTTTTTGGATGTATTGTAATTTTAATTATTGTAACAAGTAATTAAATTTTCTTGCAATCTAAAATTTACAATATTGATGTTGTTGCCTATTTGATTGAATCAATGTGTTAGGCTCTTTCTTGGTTAAAAGAGTGACCCCAAAATTAGCCTGTTTTTCAAGCACTTGTAACTTTACCTGGAATTGATGAAGTTCAACTTATAAATGCTCAAAATTTTCGTCTCATCATAACCTAGTGCGAAAAAGAAGGTTTATTGCTCCAGACCCTGTGCATCCCCTTAAATGAAAGGTTAACGAACCCTCCATTTTTCCATTATCCACATGCGAGAAAAAGCATAATTGCTACCGCCAAATAAAAAAAAGGCTGTTTTACTACATACAATATATGGTTTCCGAAGTATTTTTACCTCCTGAACACGAATTGGTCAGGTTAGGCCCATCGCCTTTCAGTCTTCAGCAAATCGTCGAAAATATTCAGAAAAATGAAAATTTTCGAGAAGTGACCGAATCTGCAATGTGACACATGGTTTCCAATGTTTTTTTTGCTTCTTAAACTCGAATTCGTGGTCAGGTTAGGCCCATCGCCTTTCAGTATTCAGCAAATCATCGAAAATCTATTCGACGATTTGCTGAAAAAGACATTGGAAACCATGTGTTGCACTGCATATCCGGTCACTTCTCGAACATCTTCATTTTTCTGTAGATTTTCGACGATTTGCTGAAGACTGAAAGGCGTTCTAAGGAGTGAGAGACTATTCACGAATCTGAGGTTAGCTTCGTGAATACTATATACCTAAACTGTAGTTTTTCACGGAGGTAAGGAGGAGTTTTTGTCCGTTGATTATGTTGTTATGAAGATGTTATGAACATACACTGCTAGTTGGTACTTGAACATATTGCTCACGCGAAGCCATCGAATCTCATTTATCTTTCTACTTACTCTCAAATTCCTTCATCCATCCATTCCATCAAATTTCTTTAATCGAAAGACGAATCTACAACAAGTATTTTGAACTTTCTGTAAGCGATGCTGTGTTTGTTTGTAAAGGCAAGGGAAGTAAACGATATCAGTTTCAATCACACATCAAACTCACACAGTTTTTTTCTAAGTTTAAAATTTATAATACTGACATTGGTATAAAGAAGTTTTAAAAGCAATGTATGACGTTTTAATCAATGTAGCAACATGTTCCTTAAACCGCAGGCTATCATCGAATATAATTCCTAGATTTTTTGCTCTATGTACAAAACAAGGTTTAAATTCGCTGTCAGAAAGTTATTAATTTTATTTTTTTTGGGTTACATAAAACTTTTCGGAGAGCACTGTATAGGCCGTTAAAAGTGCTTTTCGTCGCGGCGTCGAACCAGTCCGGTCCTCCCCCACGATGTTCCGCGTTGACACTCCTTCGCCTTGCGCTTTCTCACCGGGTATTTCTAATTGCGCTTAAATATGCATTATTCTGTACACCCGTGTCTAAGCAGACGGCCACGCTGAAGGCACGAAGTATGTAAATCAGTAATTATTTAGCCGCAGACAGTTTTAAGTGGTTTTGTAAGGGGAATTCTCGTTTTGCGGAAGTGAGACGGTGGAGATTCGAGATGATGGCGGCTTATCTCAAAACAAAATGTCGATTTTCTTTTGAGATAACCAGATATCAATCGATCTCAGTAACCAGAGTATCGATTGAACGGTCTTTGCTTGTCATGCAAAATTTTTACTGAATTTTAGTGTGTTAAATCAGATTTTGATAAGCGGGATAGCCCAGGACAACATACGAGGTGTGCAAATTATTAAGGGGGCTTTTCCGCTTTTTCCCTGGAAAAAAAAGGGTTTTTTTTGGGATTTTTTTTGAAGAAAGTATAAAACGGATTGAGACAATTTTTTTTTTAATTAAAAGATACAGGTATGTATGTTACATTTAATTTTTTATTTATTTTTTAAACCAAAATGGCGGCTGTCGATCCTTGTTCCAATGCATACTTCAGGCGGACATGTCTCATGTAAATGAGAATTTTCTACGACGCTATTCATCTGAAATCAAAAAATGAAACATTTTTATAAAATATAGGGTTGTTGTTAGTGTTTATCATAGGGGTTTTTTTGAGATTCAAATTTTACGCGATTTGGTGCAACTTTGAAAAAAAAAAGTTCGATTTTCACCTTGAATTTCTACTTTTAAATTGTTATTAAAAATCGAATTGCAATATCAAAAAAATCCTATGTTGATCACTAATGGCATCATTTGTGAACATTTTAAAAGAAAAATCATTAAAATCGGTTAATTAGTGTCCGAGAAAATTTCTTCCAGTTTCAAACGAAAAATGCGTTTGAAGTTTTTTTTTCATATAATTATGATTTTTTTTACTTACAGTTCGTCATCAATTCGGGGCCCGTACAGGACACCCTCCTCTGCCTTGTAGACCTCATTTTGGCTTCACGTCAGATAGCGTTACACATTTTTTCCACTGAATCCGTATTTCGCCAAATAAGGATAATAAGTAACAGACCGTAATAAGTTGTCAATTCGCCTATTACCTCGATGGTCAGTTTTTCTGTACCTCTTCCCCCGAGTCCCTTGTTTGTTTTCTTCGCATTACGGAACCTGCTTCCCATGCATTTTTTTCCGCATGACCGACGCATTCCTTTTTTCATTACTTTCGGATCGTTGTTGTACGGGTCCAAATCCAAAATCGCCTTGAAGGTCTTACTGTCCCCGTCTCCAATATACTGAGCATATTTTACATTATGCTTTTCTTCGGATCGTTGAAACACTTCCTTTACACTGTCCACCTCCATTTTCCCTGCGTGACTCTTTTCAAGCGCCGGGACCGTCGTCACTAATCCGGCTGTAACTCGAAATCTAATACGCGGATCACTTTAAAATTTCAGGATAATAAATTTGAATGTATAACGCATCATTTCAGTAAAAAAAAACGGTTTTTTAAAACCAAAAAGCGGGAAAGCCCCCTTAATGTTAATGCAAATTATTATTAATATTAATGTGTAATGAGACTGGCAACGAAGCGCCCGATCTTGTAACACTGCGGAGACGAGACTTGGAAGGGCGGTAGTTTAACATGTGATGCAGCTTCAGTACAAGTATGAACTTGTTAGAATCGTTTGTTTGTTCTTTGTGACTGTTTTCGTAAACCGTTTTTTCCTAGCGCGTTTTAAAAATGGCTGACATTCATTTTGAGCAACGGTGTGCTATCAGGTTTTGCTTGAGACTTGGACACAGCGTAACGGATACTTTTGCAAAACTTCAACACGCCTACGGAGACAGTATTTTTTTAAGGCACTTTCAGAAAAAAGAGAGTCGATTGAAGATGAACCACGCAGTGGACGGCCTTCATCTTCAAGAACCGATGAAAGTGTCGGTAGAATACGGGATCTTGTGCATTCAGATCATCGGTTGACGACAAGAATGATCGGGGAAGAGTTAAATTTGAATCACACCACTGTTCATCAGATTCTGACTAACGAATTGGGGATGAGAAAAATCTGCGCAAAAATTGTTCCAAAAACTTTTTGCAAGAATAAAAGGACATCAGGAGAGAAAGGTGTCTTTACTTTTTGGAATCGATTGAAACAATTTTATGGAGCGTGTCATTACTGGTGATGAGATTTGGGTGTTTGAATACGACCCGGAATTCAAGCGCCAAAGCATGAAATGGCACACTTCAAGCTTTCCAAGACCCAAAATGGCAAGAATGAGCAAGTCGAAGATCAAATGCATGCTTATTTGCTTTTTTGATAGCCAAGTAATTGTCCACAAAGAGTTTGTGCCTCCAGGTCAAACAGTACATCAACACTTTTACAGAGATGTTCTTGAAAAACTTCGAAAAAGGGTAATGCGTGTGAGACCAAACATCAAGAACAAATAGTGGTTGGTTGCCCGGGCCGCTTTTTCACAGACCTTTTTAGGAAAAGGGGGTTTTAGCCAGTAAAAACATTCCTGTGGCTCCTCAGCCTCCTTATTCGCCTGACTTGAGTCTTTGTGACTATTTTCTCTTCCCGAGGTCGAAAAAATCATCTCAAGGGACGTCATTTTGGGACCATAGAAGACATTCAAACGGCTGTAACCGACCAGCTGAAGGCTATTCCAGTATATGCGTTCCAGCACTGCTATGACGAATGGAAGAACCGTCTCCAGCGCTGTGTGGCTTCCCAAGGAAATTATTTTGAAGGAGACAATTCTGAATTGTAATTCTATTCGAATAAACAAATTTCGCGAGATGATGTAATGCATTAATACGTAAACACGTTAGGGGTTGATGGAAGAGTGGAAAAGCAGTTGTAGTCGTCTTATTTGAAACTGCGTATGAGACGTGGCGTATGTATAACTACCTACTTTTTAAATAGATACGTTTA